AAAGCTATGAACTAGCTAATACAACAAGCGCTGTAAAAAATTTATGTTTACCTACCACAATCACAATCTTCGGTTAGGGAAAGCACGAGTGGCGGGAGCGGGGAAACCCAAACTGAAAATAAATTCGGCATGATAACTCCCCCTCTTGCACAAAGCAAAGAGGGAGACGTCGCTGCTACAGCCGGAGCACATTGGCTCATAATTTCCGCTTTAATACACCCAGAATGACAGCTCAAATGCCGACCTACCATCACAGTCATATCACAGCATCATCCAATCAGATTGATATGCCATCTCTTTTTTTTAAAACACTGTTTACATCTACAGACATCGTAGTCTAGTCCTTGTACGATATTGCTCAATTGATCTATTGGCAATAACAATTTTATAACACAAGCTAGGTAAATATACAGATCGATTATTTACTGTCAAATTGTCAAGTGATGGGACTATTCATTCAACCCTAACTACTTAATAGCATAAGTTACTAACTAACAATGTTTTGGTTGGCCTTAAGCGGTTTACGACGTTAACATATCCTAAAAAGCTTCTCCATTATGACGTGAAAAGTTCACGTAAGACTTAAAATAAAACAATACAAAATAAGATGTAATACTAACGCCTAAAAAAGCAATTTCCGTATATTAATATTCAAAAAGCAATTTATTTTAATAACTCGCAACATGCAAGTCAATATGGTATAATAAATGTTGACTAAGGGGAAGCAAGTAGAGCGTTAGGTGACAGATTTATAATATGACTTAGCTTCAACATACAACGGTCTGACATGCTAGCTAGCAGCAGCCCGCTAGCTTTCCTTGTTTTAGTTTTTACCTTCCGTTGACATCAACAGGGAGGGTCACGTCGTCGCCAACAACAGAATCCATTATAGTAGTAAACTTATAAATCGTTTTTACCAACAAAACAGGTCATTTTACCGCGCAGACGCGCCGTAAACCTCGAAAAGCAGATAAGAATTCAAAATAGTTCAGGCTACCGCCATTACGATATGGTAAACGTCACCATTGTGCACGTTGAAAACTGATGATGGGTTTGAGTGTTGTAGGAATTTTTAAAACTACCTGATGAAGTCTTATTTAGACAATTTCAGAAGGTAAGCAGAGTGACTTACGTTTGCAACAACATAAGGGACGCTATAAATGTTCGATTCTCCACAACATATTTGCATCTATATGTGGGTGATTATTTTATGCAACCGTTAAAATTGAAAATTTCAAACAGTTGAGAAGGGAGCATTGAGATGGGTTTATACAGGCAAAAAGCGATTGGTCAAAGCAAGAACTCAGGGAGGGCCGTGAGACTGAAAAATATATATAGCTGTCATTTTTAAATAATTTGTTCCAGGCGAAGTCCTCCCACTTGGGTGGACTTCGTCACTCTCTCTGATAAAATGAAAACAATACTTAAAAACAAGAATAAGGCGTATGTGTCCTACAATTGTCTTGAAATTATCTGACACATAAAATGAAGCCAAAATCAGAAATGAGTGCTGTCTGTAAAGTTAGTGGCATGGCAAGTTTAATAGTGCATGGGCTTGTATCTGTGCTCCCCTTCCTTTAAGTTGAAAAAAATGTCTAAACATGCTAAGCTGTGTACGTGTTGACATTTAAGTGTTCCTTCAAGAAAACTTGTGGTGAGTAGGGTGTGTTACAGCATAATTAACACTTACTCTAGGGAAAATGGTAATTATGCCATTTAGTGAAAAGAGTTTACAGCAATATATAATCTGGACTTTTTATGACATTCAAAAACAGTTCTGTAAGGAAGTGTAGAGGCAAGGTTAAGCAAACAGTCCAGTTTCAAATGAAAAATATCCAAATATCATTAGCGACACCATGTGGTGTAAAAGTTAACTTCAACCAGTGGTGACAGTAAGCGGTTACGGTCGGGTACTGCGTACCACTAAAAGATTTAGCGCAGGTGTTCTAACTATCTGTGTTACCCATTCATCCGTCCTACCTTGTGGTAATGCGCATGCGCACATCGACGCTACGTCACATACTGTTTACTCAGTAGATTTCTTATCAATATATCCTACCTTCACACAAGCAAAGACAGATGGACATAGCTATCTATCCGTGCTACGGTAAGAAAAGCTGACGAGAAGCAGCTTTGGGCATGCGTGATTCAATTCCAACGTAGAAAGAATGGGGTTCAGTTCAGTTCACTTCAAATTTATTTAATCAAGGACAGCAGTTAAACAATGCTACATGTGAGGGAAAAAAAAGAGAAACTGTTGTTTTGTGCATAGATTAGAAAACCTATGCACAAAATGCATTTCTTACCTTTATTTAAAGACAGTAATATCAAAAGATAAAAATTCCTGTCATATTCACAGACAACCTACCTTGAATTTCTGTGACTATAAACAAGAAAAACATATAAATGTATTCAGAATGCTAATTCTCCATAGCAATTTAGGTCAATATAAATGAGTCTTCACATATTTGTTTTTGTTTTAGCCACTGTTTCGTCTGGGAATCGAAAACTCTAAGATCAGTTTCCATTTGTATTCTTGATGTTGGGGCCTCTGTCTGCAGGTGAGGTTTTCTGAATCAGGTTACTGTGGGACTGACCACCTGTCTGAGCTTGGAGAAGGGGTTTGGGCTCACGGAAGTGTAGGAATTCTGGCTCTTTTTAGGGAACCGGTGTTCTGACCATCAAACACCAGCTCTTTTGACTCGGATCACTAAAAAGAGTCGGCTCTTTCGGCTCCAAAGTGGTTCTTCAGATTTTATTTTGTTGTTGTTGTTCCTTAATTTATTATCCAACAGAAAAATGTAGCAACATGAATGAGACCTCATAGTCTGAAATGACTATATTCAACAGCTCTTCTTCTTCTGGGTCACTCAGGGTAAAGTGAAATGTGCATTTTCACTTTTAAAATATCATGTAACCAGACACCACCTTCTTTACATATGTATTGTTAAAAAGGTGAATAAACTATTTATCTTTAGCCTATATACAAAACATTGTGTAGGTCTATCATATGAGATACCAAATAAAATGCATTAAACCTTGTGTTTGCTTGTTCAAGGGATATGAACACTTTTTGAAAGAACAATATTCTTGCTCTGTTGTGTTTGATAAAGTACCTAAGCTTAGCTTAGTTAACCACTTTAACTACAATATTTTCCATCTATTGATGATTTTTTTTTTCTATAATGGTGTGAGAATTAATGTTCCAAGATGACACCCTCAGGAATCCTCAGACAAAAATTGTGTGAAACCAGTGTGAGTCTAAATAGAACACATACAGTACAGGTATTAACACCTAAGATGACATTACGGTACTTTCACTGAGGTAAACAGTAAAAATCCAGAGACAAATTTAAAGTATTTATTTAACAGACACTGAACAATGACTAAAGAGCGGACAAATAAGAGATGAATGCACCAGAAATGATCTCATTCAAAGTTTGATGGTTTGCTGCATTTGCCTGATATTTTCAAACAGGTTTTAATTACGAATGCAATAGAAAATCTTTGCTCATGTAAAATTATGAGGTATTCTTAGCTCATTTTCAGGAAAGATTTACAAAACAAAAAGTAGAAACCATTTTCACATATTTGCATAATTCCTTAAAACACAAGTTATAGAAGAGCACAGTTCTCATACAGTACATGGTTGATTAACATGAAAGAAATAAAAACAATAAAAAATTTAGAAAAATAAAAGAAATAATATTGCAATAAATTTGTTCTCTGGAGCCCCAAATTTACACATAAAAACCCCATAAACTCCAAGACCAGTTGGGAGCACGGCTATATAACATTGTCAATACGAGTAGTTTTGCTTTAACTAACAAAAATTTGCGCAATCTGCAACCACATTAACAGCATTAAATAACATTAAATTAGCAAGAGGGGATTTACTGTATACAGCAAGGTTTACAGAATTATACACACTTGATTCCAGCTACAATAATTATTTTTTTTCCCCCTCTAAAAACTATCTTCTAGTTGCTAAAAAATATTACATACAGCTCAGCGGGGCTTTGTACATATTTTTGGAAATGGTTTAAACCCTGCGATTTATGCCGGATATACACACAGAAATATTTGAGAAATGTAAAAAAAAAAAAAAAATGCTTAAATTTAGCTTTTATTTAAATGCAGAGTGGAAATGAAAAAAAATAATTTGGCAATTATGTCATAATAAGTGGGTTCAGGATGTAGCGCAGTGTAATGGAATGGGTAAGTTGCATATAAACTTTTTTTTATTAAGCAAAGCCTGCATGCACTATATGCATTTGAATAATTTAGCAAAGTGGTGTATAACAGCACTATCACTAGCACCTTTGGAAATGTTCTTAGCACCGGGATAAAAGATGGAGGTTTCCGTTTTGATTCCTGTACCCGCTCTCCATTCTTCTGTGGCTCAGATCTCCTTTATGGACAGCCTCTACCTGTAGTCTTTGTGATTTTAATTGCTCAGCTGGTGCTGACTTTGTATTCTCTTTTGTATTCATTAATGAGGAAGCGAGAACCTAAAGCTGTAATCCACAGTTAGAGAATATTTATTAAAACACTACTGAGAACTTAAGCTTGTCTTCCTCTTCCTCAGTCTGACATCTGTAGCCCTTCCAGTCATCAGTGGCATCCGTTTGTGTTTTGGCTTTGGTTAGTGACCACTGTCCTTCTCACAGCAAGAAGAAAATGTAAATCTTCCGTTCAGAGTACATAAATATATGAATTCTGCTTTTGGATAAATTCACCTATGAAATACCATCAACCTACGAGCACCAAAGGCAAGTAAAATGGCACCCCGTTTGACTTAAAAAAAAAAAAAAATCCTTCCATAAACAGCTTAAACCAGATACTTGCATACATTGTATTAAAAGACACAACAACTTTTCTCTTCATTGTCTGTCATGAAATCAAGCTGAATGTTTCCTGGTGTAGGGTAGTTACCAAAATTTTTACTATATGCTAAATATCAGAATGATCAGAGAGAGAATAAAAGCAATGCTTTGTACTTTTTATATGTTCTTTCTTTGTGTCTGGTAGATTTGTCACTTAAACTGCATGACTGTGGGAAATATTAATCCCCAAGATTTCTATGGGACTGAGATCGGGGCTCTGCCAATCATTGTCCATTTGGAACGCTGCGGACAAGCTTTAATGTCCTGGATAATGTTTTGAAATGCTGCTTCAATATTTCAACATATTTCGTTTCTGTCCTCATCATGGGACCTATTTTGTGAAGAGCAGAACACCCTCCTGCAACAAAACACCCACACATTATTAGTATGCTGCCAACCCAATGCTTCATGCAGGGAGTGGTGTTCTCAGTCTTGCAAATTGCCTTCTTTTTCACCAAAAGTTGTCCCTGAGTGCATTTGCAAACTGTAATCAGACTTTTTATGTTGCTTTTGCCATGATGGCTTCTTCCTTGGAGAGTGGCCTTTCAGCACATATCGGCACAGGACTCATTTCACAGTGGATAATGAATCCCTCTTTCTAGCCTTACATTTCTGTTTTGGGGGTACTACACACATTAGCACCAAAACCTGCTCATCTCATAGATCCATAACTTGCCTCTTTCTTTAACAGAATGGCTGAATATCCTCATGGTGTTTGTATTTGTATGTAATTGTTTGAAGAGATGAATGTGACAGATTCAGGAATCTGGAAATTGTGCTACCCAAGGATAAACCAGACTTGTGAAGGTCCACAATTTTCTGTGTTTCTCTATCTTAGGAGATGCTTTTTTTTTCTTTACAAGGAAGCAGTGCATTTAAGGTATTGATTTACAATAAAGCAACAGTCATGTTCCTCATTCAACTAAAACATTGTGAATTAACCCTACCAGAAGCTTGCAAAAATGACATCATAATCTGGACTTTACCCATCTTCTTAAAGCCACAGTAATCACATAGTGCATGCAAGCCTCTTAATTTGAACAGGATTTTTAAACATCTCTAAAAAATGTCTTACTGTTCTGGCATTAAGGAAATCCAAATAACACAGCTAAAACAAGAGAAGCGTAGTCTAATTTGATGTTAGACATTGTGGAGAAAAAGCTTAAGTGCCTTTTTGCACAGTGTACTTTAGCATCTGGTTTTAAGCTCTATGTTCCAAAATATTTTTTTTTTACTTTTATCTATTGCACTTAAAGATTATTAATTTACAAAAGATATACATGTATAAAATCAATAATAGAGCATATATATATATCTATATTTACAAAATCCCAATTACTTTAGGTGCTATGACAAAATCTGAATATTACACAAAGTATACAGACTGTATACAATTGTGGAAATAAGTTACTTCAAATATCCACTGCTGAACTTGGCCTCCGTTCACTTAAAATGTCCTGGAGATGTTGCGTGGTATTTTATCCTTTAACATGGAGATCCTCCCGAAGGAGCTTGAGGAAGCATTTGTTGGTCTGAGAAGCCAGTAGTGCAAGAACTGCCCTGCTCCTGTAACCCCGCCGCCTTGCTCTCTCTGCCTCCTCCTTTTTTCTCTGCTTGCAGTCCACTAGGAGTTTGGTTGTGAAGCAGTGTCTGTTTTGGGCGGTGGGGAGTGGACGCAGGCAGTGAGTTTTTCCTCACTTGGACAATGTTTGGCCACGATTACATGACCTTTCTGGTCTCCGTGCCTGCATGAAGGTGATTTGTAGGGGGAAGTTGTCCATCCCTTTGTGCTCAGAAGACCGACCGACGCTGTGGCCCTCAAAGAAAGCAAACCGGACCGATCTCCAGGTGGTAATGTGAAGCGGAGTTTGTTTCTGGGAGGTTGTAGATGTCGATCACAGGGAGCAGGGTGGGATCAAGGAAATGGAACACAAACTGGGTCTGGTGCCAGCGCCCATCTTTTATCTAAAAACACAACAACAACAATAAATAAATACATTTTACTCAGCAGATTTGAAGATGGTGTGAGAGCATGAGGTCTGAAGTGCTTTACACCAGATTACAACATCTTAATCCTACCCAGCAGGAGTCCTCCAAAACGCTTGGCTCGAGCTCCCCTCCCACTTCAAACACTTCTCCGGTCCAGGCCTTGAATCTCACAGACCGATGGTCAGGGAGCTGATCCTCAGCTGACCTCCAAACTGAGATGTTCAGACAGTGGATGGTGATGTGCTGAATAGCCTCTGAGCTCAGGAGGTGCAGGAAGTTCATTTGGACACGACCAACCTCGATTGTCGGCTGTAGGAGAAAAGAGATCAGTGCGACACTGCCCATTTGTGTAAATATTCATGAAACCTGCAGTTGCATCTTGTGTACCTTGGAAACCGTTATTGGCTTAAGGCAGGTTTGTCCACCACCAGTAAAGCTGCAGGAGACTTCTATTGTATCAGATGAGCAACCAAGATTGGGATCTATCCAATAAGTGCCTGAGAAAAATAAAAAAATCACAAATTTGATTTTAAAACTATCCAAGCGATGAAACACTCACTCTATCTAACATAAGTGTCCCGTCTCACCGTCATTTAACTTCTGTTCACAACTGTGAAGGTCCCTGCAGATACGGGCGGGATTGTCCCGAGTGCCCAATGGGTTCTTCAGGCTCTGGATCAAGTTACTGAGGTAGTGGAGGGTCTTGAAGATCTCTGCACCCTGGTCGAGCATCGGCAGGTCCATTGCTGGTCTATGCTGGAGGACAGATGAAATGAATCAAAGACTTACATTTTCTTAACTCGGTGCTAGCCATGCTGATAGCTAACATAATATGCTAAAGATAATTTAAGTATGTTTGCTTTACATTTACTGCCTTGATAATGTATTTTATTGTAATGTAGTTTCAGCTAGTTGGCCTGTTAAATATTGTCTTAAAAGTCCAACTTTGGACAAAAGTCAAAAAGCTACTATAATTGCTTTAAGGCAACCAAAACTGTTTAAAAATGTTGCTCTTTTATTTATATTGATGCTTTTAAAGCAAAATTGCAAATTGCTAAAACTGAAATCAACACGTCAAAGTGTTATGAAAACTTAAGATTGGAAATCAACTACTAAAATCTAATCGGTGCACAAAATAACAGAAATATCGAATCTGACCAACCTGAGTCCTGACAGGAGTGACTGAATCAACAATCACAAGGCCATCTTTTTTCTGCAGAGCAGAAATCTCACATTAATCACCCATTTTATCAGTTTCAGTGCCAACTTTTGGAAATTATGTTTTAGTAAATCCCTTTTTTACAACTTGTAAACCTGAACAATTAGGATTAAGGTGCTTACAAATGAAAGAGGGATTGCAGGAAGGCCCTACAGAGAGGAAAAGAAGTTACTTAGACAATGAGTTTTCAGTGGCAGAAATGAAATTTGGTATGGTTTATTAAAGCTGAAACCTACTGGAGGTCCAGGACGTCCACGAGGTCCAGGTGATCCCTAATAAATAAAAAAAGAACATCCAGTGGAAAGTCGTAAACTACTACAACATATGGGAACACTAAAACACCCATTTTTAATATTTGAAGGAAAGAAACTCAATATAAAGACATACCCTGGGACCTTGAAATCCCTGTGTTGAAAAAATAAAGACATGTATTCAGACTGGGAATGATCCATAATTTTGTTTTCATACGGTGCATAATGTTGACAGTATGTAAAATAAACCAGAAGCAAGTCTGAAATACTTACATTCTCTCCACGGTTGCCTTTTTGTCCTCTAGGACCCTGTTAGAAGACAATTAACAGACTAGTCAATACTGTAGGCAACATGAAAGATGAGAAAATTCAAGAGAAATTTAAGGTATACTACATACTGCACTTCCACTGGGACCAATAATTCCAACAGGGCCGACAACTCCTCTTCCACCCTGCATGAAAACGACACAAGAGGATAAAATGGAATGCACTGCAAAGCATCAGAAAACTCACTAGATTATTAAGCCATATACCATTGCACCCTGTGGCCCCTTCGGTCCCCGTATGCCAGTTGGCCCAAAGTCTCCTGGAGGACCCTGAAAATGGAAGCACACCTCTATAAATTGACAGGACTTAATTTACATTTTTCTCAAGCAAAATATGTCATTTAATTTGTATAATGGATAAATATTTTAAAAAAAAATATTGTAATAAGAACTAAAAAGTCCATACTTTTCCATACTTTGGATTCTCTTAAATCCATACTTTTCCAGGCTTAAATTTGTATAGTTCTGTATTAGCACCATCATTTTAACCTTAAACATGGATGGATGACTGGAAATATAGTTGGATTCATGGAGAGATGGATAAAAAAGGATAGACAGATGGATAATAAGACAGGTGAATGGATTGAGAGATAGAGGGATGCACAAATGGACGAATGACGGATGGACATTAAATTACTTTAAGATAAATCATCAACAAGACTGGCTACGGATATCGACTCAAGAATGGGGCCACAATCAGTCACCTCCTCTACATGGATGACATCAAGCTGTACGCCAAGAGCGAGCGAGACATCGACTCACTGATCCACACCACCAGGATCTACAGCACTGACATTGGGATGTCATTCGGACTAGAGAAGTGTGGCCGGATGGTTACAAAGAGAGGGAAGGTCGTCCGCACAGAAGGGGTCTCACTCCCAGAAGGAACAATAGCAGACATAGAGCACAGTTACAAGTACCTGGGAATACCACAAGCAAATGGCAACCTCGATGAGGTCACAAGGAAAGGAGCCACAGCCAAATACCTCCAACGAATAAGGCAAGTCCTGAGAAGCCAGCTCAATGGCAAGAACAAGATCCGTGCAATAAACAGCTATG